CTCTTTCCTGCTTATGCAGGGGGTCGGACTCGATGATCTATTGAGGTCCCTTCCGACCCTAACATCTATGAATCTATGAAAAACAGTCCACCTATTTGAGAACAAACTGTAGTCTAAAAACTTCCTTTTGAAATTTGCACAGCAAAGTTTGCTACTGAATCTTTAAAGTAACTTTGGTTTAAAGCTTCAAATTGCACAGTATAGAATGATTCTGAATAAAACTTAGTTCCTTTAATCAATTTAGTCAAATGTGGATATGAACAAAGTTATTCTGTTTTTACCACGTCTCCTAAATTGTGCTCAATTCCTTAAAATGCAGGCTGTTGTAAAAGCTCAGCCATCTCTAAGCAATAAATCCAGCAGATTTAACTAACTTCTAAAACATGCTCGAGTCCAAGCCAAGGGTTAGTCTAAACCAGTTTTCCTATAAGAACTCAGGTTTCAAAATGTAACCAGCACTCAGAGAGTTTTATTAATCCCAATGGAAAGCATACGCAGCACCTCATAAGCAGGTGCAATGCTCTTTGTCACTATTAAAAAAGATGTTCATAATTTAATACTGTCCTCCCTTGTATTCTGAAGGGAACAGACAGATCAGAAACAATGTACTAGACTAGGTCAATGATTCTCACCCAGGGTGCTGGGACTTGCCAGAGTGCCAGGAGATAAAGCAGGTACAAGGAGATAAGCAGGCATAAAGAGATAAGTGTAGGCTCAGGCTCTGCCTGGTTGCTCCCTTGCCTTAAATGCAGAGCTCCTCTATAAAGAAGTACACACTACAATAAATAAATTAGTTTTTGAAATGAGGTGCAACTCAATTCAAAGGAGTTATGGAGGGGTACCTCAAGCCTAGAAAAGGTTGAGAACCAACATATTAGACGTTAAAATCACAATTCAATTTTTTCTTAATTTTTAATATAAACAAATTCTACGTATGGTCTTCAAGAAAAATTATCTTGTAAACCAGTGGTCTCCAGCCTTTTTATGGTGAAGATCATTTTTTGGAAGTAAAAGGCACCCCAGGACCTACTGTGTGACCCCCACCCCGAGTGTCCCAGACCTGGCCCAGCTGAGGCCCAATCCCACTTCTGTGCTGCAGCTGCGTTGAGTCATGCCTGCCCAGC